TAAATATTTTGAGACTATTGAAATGTATGCAAAAGATCTTTAATAAACCATAGCGAGAAAATATTAATTAAGATTATACCTATTTACATTAACTTGAATTAACTTCTTGCACTGCCAGATTACATAGTTGTAACGCTGTAGACTCTCATTATGGAGAAGCTCGGTTCGAATCTCGGCCAAGACACATGATATCCTGAGGTTTTCTTCAGCACCCTCAGATAAAGCAGCCTCTTATCGAATGGGTGCTTGGAGCTCTTGATCCGGGAAGCGGCAGGGGCGTGAAGCTGACCACTCACCTCCAGCTAGTGCCAAGGACAAGAATATGTGGATCTATACATCCGCTCCCCATACGTCATCATGGCGTAGTGCTTAATTAGTTAAGCACAAAGACAATTGTACCTTATTTATCTTTACCTTCAGGTAAAGAGGGTATTATCTGGGGCTACTTTAAATTCGTTTAAAATAATTTATAGTTCCTTGTTCGTCTATCAACTACTCTAGTTACTGACGGCGTCGGAAAGTAGCACTGATATTATACAGTATTTTAATTCTCTATCTCTGTTAGGGATAAAATTATAGCAATTTAATAAGCAAATAAATGACTCCTAACACCTTGCCTTCTCTCAGAAACCGATATTTGTCTCTTGCCGTAATGTAATCACCAAGTTTCATAAAAAGAACCACATAAATGGAGCCGGATAGCTCAGTCGGTATAGCTACGGGCCGGATGATCGGTGTTCGATTCTCGGCAGGGGCAAGAGATTTTTCCCTGTTCTTCATAGTCGAGACCGGCTCTTGGGCCGACCCAGCCCCCTATCCAGTGGGTACCATTGTCAGTTTCCCTGGGGGTAAAGGGACGTGAAGCTGAACATTCACCTCCAGCTCATGCTTAAGTCAAGATTAGTGGCTCTGTGCTTCCACCCCCCATATGTATTCATGGCGCAATGCTTAATTAAGCATAGAGACAAATTCACCTTTTACTTTTACTCGATTTACAATCACTTGATCCTCAATGCAAGCAAAAATACTGGGGCGCGGTGTTAATATTGTATATTGCATATGCACTTATATTCAACCCTCACTCACACGGCAAGAATTTGACTGATTGTATATATATATATAACATGGCCTCTGTGGTCTAGTGGTCAGAGTTACTGCCTACAGATCAGGAAGTCCCAGGTTCGATTCTCGGCACTACCAGATTTTCTGAGAAGTAGTGGGTTTGGAACGGCGTCCACTCAGCCTCTTGAGGATAACTGAGGAGCTATTTCAAGGAAACAGCGGCTCCGGTCTAGAAAACCGAAATTAATAGCCGTGGGGATCCGTTGCGCTGACCACGAGACACCCTCTATCCGTTAATTTGGCACTAACTTCGCCGACAAGCGGCGGTCGTTCAGTCGGTATAGTTCGCTTGTGGACTACAGGCCACCGAGTTTATACATGCCCTCTTCCGTTCAATAAAATCAAAATGGCTACTGTAGTTTAAATACTTATTTTAACGATGAAATGGAACTTCTTACATAACTAAATATATAACAAACTCCATTATGAAGTGAGTTCTCAGAAAAGTTCTTCAAGGAATTTCTTTCTGTTACGAAACCACAAGATTAACTACTGTCAACAAGAATACACGCTAGCCCATATACGCTGTAGTCTTTTGAACATCTTTTTTTCCTCTGTCGCTCCCACTTTGGAGCATAGGGCTGATTTTCAGATTCATTAATCATTTTTATAGATGGTAGGCCTCCCTGGACGGGTGATCAGCTCGTCGCAAGGCCTCTATCTAAATACAGGACAACACAAACACAGAATAAACGAATATACGCACTAAACATCCATGCAATGAATTGGATTCGAACCCACGATCCCGGCTTCGGAGCGAGTGAAGACATTACATGCTTTAGAGCGCTCGGCAATGGCCGCACCACAGCTCTAGAGATTAGTCGCTGGCTTCCCACCGCGGCGGCCCGGGTTTGATTCCGGGTCTGGTCAAGTGGGATTTGTGGTGGACAAAGTGGCGCTGGGGCGGGTTTTCTCCGAGTACTTCGGTTTTTCCTGCCAATCTTCATTCCACCAAATTCTCCATCATCATAATCACCAGGGGGCAGGCCAAGCAGTGGCCGCCGTGCCGAATGAACCCAGTTGGATTCCACACACCACTAAACGAGCTAAGAAAAAAATTAGACCGCTCGGCTACCGTCACCGGCATTATGGAAAATGTAAAGTCGATAATCTGAGCTAATGAAAGTACTTGTGTTTTCGGATTATCGAACCGTTCGGATAACTGAATTTCAAATAAAAATTCGAATTTGTTTTATAAAATCATTTATTCAAAAGAAGTACGCGTACGTGTCATATATAATCAACAAAATATTTTTCCGAAACCCGCGAAAGTTCGGCTGTACCCTGGACTCGGGGCAAGCGGTAACTCGGTTTAATCTTTCAGCGCCGAAAGAGGCAGGTCTAGTGACACATGATACTGTCACGTGCAGGGGTTTGCGAGTGACTTACAAGACGGGTTTGGGATTGGACGGTTGGATTTATTGACACCTTACACACAATACTCGAAACTACAGGCAAAACAGCACTATCGCTGATCTCCACACTTTACAAATCATCATTACAAACGCACTAGGGTTCTGTCTTCACTAGCCGTATCCTGGCAACAGATTTATAAGTCTCACTGTCACTTCAAATCACACATGAAGCCTTCTTTTCCCAGCCTAATTCCTTTCTTGCCATTATTTCGCAACTGTCAATTGCGAAGATTCGACTCAGTTCAGTTCCTTTGCTCCCAAGCTCATAACCTGTCAGGCTGGCGTCTCGAAACTCGACCAAATTCTACATAACAACTTAGCACGGACCACGCGGAAAACACAGCATCTCTTCTGCTTGGAAGGCGTGTTTACAGCGCCGTTGCATAGCAGTGGAAGTTACTAGATCGTTACTTGCATATTCTTTGCCGCGGGAATGTGTTTACCGAGTCGTTTCCTAGCAATGGACATATCTAATTTCACTATTCCGGATTTCATTCGTCATGTTACAATTTCATGTTTCACAAGAATTATGTTTTATTGGCAGAACTTAAGGTTATTAGACTAAATTCGTAATTTCTGGAGATGCAGGTTCTTTATTTTATTTTATTTTATTTTATTTCATTCTGTTCCTTATGATACTGGACCTCACTTCGGATTACCGATGCTGCACTCTGTCACGGCGCCGTCAACATCCCAGACTACGTATATGATAGAATCGAATGTTACGATGTTTACTGAACGATCAACAGGAAAGAATATGAAGAGAAACGTTCAAGATATAATTTTAGGTACCATTCTGCTATGTGCCTCAAGGCACTGGGGAAGACTTTGAAATCCTGAGTCAGAGTAAGCAGTCCTGACCGAGATTATCACCAGATATCTCCACAAATCAGAAACGTTGCTGCTTAAGCCATCTTGTTTTGCATATACACCGTGGTATTCTGACACCTTCTATTAACTTACATCGACAGAAAATATCATTAATGACACACGCCTGTCTTCTCATGACTAAAAAAACTGCAGAGTTCGAGAAGAAAATCGCGGTATTACGGAGAATCTGGTTGTCTTTTCACAAGTTTTTGTCGTATCGAGGACATTTTTAATTTCAGTTGATATATAACACGACGTAATTTGTGTTCCGATAATAGCAACACGACTATAAATCCACAAAATGGCCTTCTCTTTCTGTCTTTCTGTCTATGGCTCTACAGCCCTTTCTTGGACTTTGGACGTTTTCCAATGTTAAATCCTGTACACACTCGATAGAACTCCTGTCGCAAGGCCGCTACCAACACACAGAATAAACGCACACAAACATCCATGCCTTGAGTGGGATTCGAACACACGATCCCAGTGTTCGAGCAGGAGAAGACAGTTCATGCCTTAGACTGCGCGGCCACTGAGATCGGTTGAGGATCTTCTATTAATGTAAAATATATTTTATTTTAACAGCTCTCTAATTAATATATTTCAGAAGTCAAATTCATTCCAAATTTATATGTTGTATGATATCTGAAATGGAGTTATATAAAACCCGTAGGTGCATTTCCATAAAGAAAATACATATACGTCATTATTCCAGTTAACTGTTTGAAAAAAGAAAGTGGTTGTAAATTTATATTTTAGTCAGTCACTGCCAAATTTCTAATTGGCTGATATTTAACTATTAGCAATGGATGATTTTCTTTTATAAGATATCCCTTTCTCGAGCGTGGCTAAAATAAATTAATGGATATTATGGACCTAAACACGAATGCGTCAACATTTTATTATTCCAAAAATGATCCAACATGAGTGCAGTTATCGNAGAAAATACATATACGTCATTATTCCAGTTAACTGTTTGAAAAAAGTGGCTGTAAATTTAAATTTTAGTCAGTCATCGCCAAATTGCTAAGTGGCTGATATTTAACTATTAGCAATGGATGATTTTCTTTTATACGATATCCCTTTGTCGAGCGTGGCTCAAATAAATTAATGGATGTGAATGACGTAAACACGAATGCGTTAACATTTTATTATTCTCAAAGTGATCCAACATGAGTGTTGTTATCGTATTCTTAGAATATGTACTTAGTATAGTTAATGATATACGTGTATATGTATGTGTGTGTGTATGTGATATATTTCGAACTTTTTTGACTTACAAAATTTTAAAATTATATTTAAATCATGAAAGCTAGAATAATTTATTCAACAGTGAAATATTAACGCATGTCAATAAATATTACAGATACCTCATGATAATATAGTGTGATATAATCATCAACATTTGGTGACAACACAAACAGGCACTGCAGTAACTTGGGACTCACCCTGTAATTTGTATAATACTCAGATTCTGTACTTCCATAAAGCTAACGTCATATATTGTTTTTCTTTGTTGCCTATTATGGAAAATAATAACATTCAGAATATCTGCTACAATAATGGACGTACATTTTACGAATAAATTAAACTGACCTGTATAGTTGGGTTTGTGGGTTAGGCGTTTATTAACTCCGTGCTTCCTTGGTGAAGATCGGCTCACTCTTTGCTTACGATGGATTCCATCCTTTCAGACTTCCATCAAAGTTTAGATTTTCCCCTGTTCTTGCTTTCACGTATATGAAACGTTTTCTTCTCCAGATTCCCCTGCAATTTGACGAAGCCGCAACCCACTCGTCACAAGATGGCTACCGGACAGCTCCCCTGCAAAATCGATACAAAGGCTTAGAAAAGTACTGCAGAGCATGCGCAGATGAATATGTTGCTGCCAACATCTATAAATGTCGTGGTTCCAGCAGTTGGTTTCGCTTTCGTCAAAATGTACGAGCGCGTTTTGGTCTCGAAATACTCATCTGGTTACCACAACTTCCTGATCACCTGATGCTTGTAAGATTGGCAATAGATTTCGTGTTGCCGCTTACACCCTCCTCTTTGCTGGATATCAAACCTGACATAAACTCGGAAATTTTCAGTTGGGGGCTCAAATGTCACTGAGGGCTCTTTTACTATCTGGGCTACACAGAATCGAATGGTATGTTGTTTGATGAATGATAATTTTGAAATAGTTTGGAAGGAAGCTATCATAATCTATTCCAGGCACTTTCTGGAATTTTCCCGGGGATCTGAGGAAATCCACTAGAAACATCAGTCAGGATAGCCGGCGTCCTGGCCAGGATTCGAATACAGCACCCGGAATAAGAGCCTAGAACATTACCGTTAGGCTAACCCGTTGTTTCGAGCTGCTTGAAATACGGCAGCTCCCCAGATCAGTACACGATTATGTTAATTCTATAGATTAGTATCCGAGAGATAGGCGGTTCGAGGCTTGGTCCGGTTATCTGCTAACTAAAGTTCTCGTAGTATCTATCAGTCTTTTTTTTTATTGCTAGTGGGGTGGGACTAAGTCCCTTGTACTGCGGCCACTTCTGGCCTATTGTACCAGCTCCAGATGATAGGTGAGGGTGATTGTGGAGCAATTAGTGGAATGAAGATTGGTAGGGGAAACCGAAGTACTCGGAGAAAACCTGCCCCAGCGCCACTTTGTCCACCACAAATCCTACTTGACCAGACCTGTGATCGAACCCGGGCCGCCGCGGTGGGAAGCCAGCGACTAACCGCTTGAGCTATGGCGCGGCTTCTTTTGTACCAGTAAGTCTTAGGAGCCGGTCACGGTAGCCGAGCGGTTTTAAGGCATGTACTGTTTTCTCCCGCTCGGAAGCCGGGATCGTGGGTTCGAATCCCATACAGGGCATGGATGTTTTGTATGTGTATGCGTTTTTTCTATGTTTGTGTTGTCCTATGATTAGATAGAGGCCTTGCAATGAGCAGATCACCCGTCCAAGGGGTCCTACTTACTGTAAAATAATCAAAGAGAGAGAGAGAGAGAGAGAAAAGGAGCCACGACACCGTAGGGTATAAGAGGAACGGATTAGTAAGTCACAGGAGCTTTCAGTATTACATAAGAGGTCTGTCTACCTAATTTCTGTCCAACACCAATACTGTTTTCTTCTAAACCAGATAAGAACGGCAAAGTTGTCTCTGTTCTTAACGAAGCACCAGGCCATGATCACGTACGTGGATGTACAGTTCCATGCGTTCAATCGTCAAGTACATGTAGCAGAACGGGTTACGTCACGCCTCAGCTGCTTTACTAGAGCGGACATGCCCCATGTTGGAAGGCCTCATAACCTGTACAGAGTGAGCACAGAAGTATTCCTTGCTCCTATTGGGAATCGAATAATGATACCTCGGGTTTCCTGCTCGTAGTCTAATCGCTATATCGGCTGAAATATTCCAGCTTCTCGCCTGATTAAAACGCGTATTAAGCAGTACTTGCCACTGATTTGGCTCATCTCAGCATAATAACATGTTATTCCTAACCCCCTTACGTGATTTTAACTCGTCACCATAGAAATTTAAAATATTGTGCTACAAATGTTCATTATGGTCGCTACTTTGTTATGCTGGGGTTTCGTAGAAGTTATCTCCATAACCGGACCGCCTCTGTGATCTAGTAGTCAGAGTTCCTGGCTACAGATCCAGAGGTCCGAGTTCGATTCCGTCGCTACAAGATTTTCTGAGAAGTAGTGGGTCTGGAACGAGGTCCACTCAGCCTTGTGAGGATAAATGAGGAGCTATTTCAAGGAATAGCGGCCCCGGTCTAGAAAACCGAAATTAACGGCCGTGGGGATTCGTTGTGCTGACCACGCGACACCCTCTATCCGGTAATGTTGGCACTAACTTCGCCAACAAGCGGCGGTCGCTCGGTCGGTATAGTTCGCTTGCGGACTTAAACCACGGAGTTTTTTTTTGTATCTCCATAATCTCTACATATCTGTTAACATCAAGACATAAGACTCTTTACTGAATTGTACCAGTTTAAACAAGTTCGCATAAAGGCCCTGTGTCTGCTGTATCAAGACGGAGAGATATCCTATCAGTGTCCATTTTGAGCTCCACTAAGATCGAGCAGTCTTTACGTATGGTTCAGAAGAGAGTGGATGAACAAACACGAAGTTGTCTTTCTACCAATTACTGGAGTTGGGTTTTCTTTCCCTCCTTCCTTTACCCGCTGGCCTTGTAAAAGTCACAAGCGACACATACGCGTAAATAATTCTTGAAGTTTTATTGTGCGGCGCAGTAATTAGTACGGAGCTTTCCCTACAGTTTATTGCGATATAGAGCAGGTGGCAATTAACATGATTCTGAAAGGACGGGAGAGGAGATAAGACACAATACTTAAACAATTTGTTTTGCGGTCTGGTAATAAACCGAAGTCAAGCGATTATACAGTGACCGTGCGGTCTAAGGCACGAACTGTCTTCGCCCGCTAGAATGCTGGGATCGTCGGTTCGATTCCCACCCAAGGCTTGAATATCTGTGTGCTTTTATTCTCTTTGCGTTGTTCTGTGTGTAGGTAGCGGCCTTGCGACGGGCTGATCCCCCGTCCGAGGAGTACTACCGACTGTGTATAGGATCAAGAAACTGAAAAACTACGAAGGTCCAACAGAAGAGCTGTAGAGTCATAGACAGATAAATGAATTGAAGTAATTAGAGGGATACGGGTATCTTGAGAATAAAATCCAAATAACAGACTTCAACTAAATTGTGAGGTTTGAGGTATTCACAGCCCTAAGCTTGTCCAGTAACTCTGAATATGAAACACACGAACACATGTAATTATTCATGAAAGCATTTTGGGATCCATGTTCGTTGATTTTTTAAACTGATTCTGATCAAACTGAAACTTCTTAACACAGCATTTACTCATTACAAAAAATTTCATTATACTGCAGCACGCACATAAAACAATTCCATTACTATAAAGTTAATTTCCTTTAAATTTGACTTGGTTCATTCTGGTCTGTCACACTAGTAACAGTAATCAGTAATCTGTCATACGACAGGTCTACAGTCTCTTCCAAAACAGTTCCTCCACTTAATGCGATCTCAAGCTTTCTACTTCAATTAAAATATCCTCTTCTGTCCCCAAGGTCATCCAGCATCTTCTTACGCCTTCTTCCTCGTCTTCTGGGCACTTCTATTCGCCCCTCTGGTTTGTTTTGTCTCCAGAGAAAACATCTCGCATACATGATATCTCTGTTTTTGGAAAGAGACTATCCAGGAAAAGTGATAATGTGGTAGTTTTTCCATTTGCTTTCCACATCGCAGTACAACAGCCGTTCAAACCAATCTGGTCACGCCTGTTGCTATACGAACTTGAACCATCTCGAGCATCATTTGCTCTGTGCTTCAAGTCGCTGCTGATGACGCTGCTTCCGGCATCAGTTTTTGGATTTTGGTGTCTCTCTTCTTCTGATGCCTACCCTTTGACCTGTCCAGAAAGGGAGGCCCTGCCAGTAGCTACGCTACCGCTGGTATAGATCTCAAGGTCCTTAGCATACTCAAACCCCCTCACCACGATAAGGTGTAGACATCCTTTACATGTTTCGAACGGAGCGACCACCTTCACAAGGAAATTATCAATATATACGGAAACTACTATTGCAATCCCAGTCGTCAGACAACGGATCCACGAGGTGGTAAACACTCTACTTCCTTTAAAGAGAGCAGTATAAAGAACACGAACCAAATTGCTTCTAGATTTTAACGAAGTGTTTAAACCATACTCGTAAATATACTTTTTAAAATAATTTATAAATATTTTAATAAATCGTTGTAATTGTTAACGGGTAATATTTTTTATTCTTTGCATTGTAATAATAGTGTGTGTGTGTACTGATAATGACCAATGACATTGCAATCGTAGTTTCCGCATGTATTGATATAAAGGATGAAAGATTAAGAAAATACAGAAAGAAATAAAAAGCACTTATCAATCACACTGGACGCCGTTAATAATCGTTTCTATTAATTTCCTTTAACCAACGTTTACTACGTTTTGTATGCCTTATTTTATTCTAAGAGAGAAGCTTCAAGGTCCTGTGTTCAGACATTTGTTTCAAATTTTCTATCCATTTCTTTTGACAGTATATGTTATTGTTTTCTCGTGTCTGTTGTTCTTTCTTCCTCTCCGATATCTTCGTTATGATTTCAACCCTTCATGTTTGCTGTCTGCTTCTTGCTCTCTGGTTGCTTGTCTTACAATTTGGTTTTGAAAATTTATGCAGTAAGTTTTTCCGAAACGTCGATGAACTGGACTACGTGATGTCATATCCCAGAAGATAATATTCTTCAGTGAAATTCCAATTATCATACGAATATTATTACTGTGGCGAGCTATCGTGAACGCTTGTTGTGCTGTGGGCTGTCTCCTACGAGCAGACTCACCCGCTAGTGACAGTTTTCCCGATATGCTCGCCACACAATGTGCGTTGATACCACTCACAGCTTGGTTTTGGGTCATGAGTTTCACAGACCTTTCCATAAAAATCATTTACCATTCAGTTCAAGTTATGAAGTTTTGTATGAAGTAAAATAGGGCTTCCTGCGGGACCATACTCTTTTTCTGGATAAACCTCTTCTCTTCTTCTTTCTATTGCTAGTGGGGTGGGACTAAGTCCCTTGTACTGCGGCCACTTCTGGCCTATTGTACCAGCCACAGATGATAGGTGAGGATGATTGTGGAGCAATTGGTGGAATGAAGATTGGCATGGGAAACCGAAGTACTCGGAGCAAACCTTCCCCAGCGCCACTTTGTCCACCACAAATCCCACTTGACCGCAGCTGTGGGAAGCCAGCGA